CTGTCTAGATCCACTAAGTTTATTGTTGTGAAATATCTTCTCCTGCAGGTGTTACATTGGAGCGATTAACAGAGGGTCTCTCTCCCAGGCATTGTGCCTTATCACTTGTCGGTGAACCTATCATGTATCCAGAGATTAATGCACTTGTAGATGAGCTGCATCGGAGACGGATTTCTACGTTTCTAGTCACAAATGCTCAGTTTCCTGAAAAGATTAAAATGCTGAAACCCATTACACAGGTTTGTGTGCCCCTGTTTTATTGTCTTACATCACGGTATTTGTGTATTTTTTGGGAATTGTTTGTTGACTTCTTCAATGCATTCAGTTATATGTAAGTGTGGATGCTGCAACTAAAGAGAGTTTGAAGGCAATTGACAGGCCACTTTTTGGGGATTTTTGGGAGCGATTCATTGTAAGTATCTGATCCACTTGAAACTTTGAATTCCCAATTTTTTATGCCTTTCTTATTTTTTTGTATGCCCTGAAGTACCAAATGTTTATACCAAGGGTATTTTGCTACATAATATTTTACTAATATAACTGGTTCAGAATTTTGATTCTCATGGAGCTTGTTCTTGGACAGAAAAAATATGTTTCAACCTATTGTCAGAGTCTAAATTCTGTATGAGTTTCAATAGTCAATCAATGAAACAGTATCTAAAAAATCTTATTGACACCATTCAGTTTCCTCTTGTATGATTTAGTATTTTTGGTGTTACTTATGTGCATGCTTGAATTTTGTTGCAAGGATTCCTTGAAATCTCTTAAGGAAAAACAGCAACGAACTGTTTATCGCTTAACTCTGGTGAAAGGGTGGAATACAGAAGATATTGATGCTTATTATAACATCTTTAGCATTGGAAATCCTGATTTTGTTGAAATCAAAGGAGTTACATATTGTGGATCGTAAGTTTTCTTTTCTTTGGTTTCTAAGTAGTCTTATCATTTAAAATGGTCGAGTTCTATAATCAGAATGATCTATTGACAGGTCTGCTACATCAAAGTTGACCATGGAGAATGTGCCATGGCATGCTGATGTTAAGGCCTTTTCAGAGGCCTTAGCTTTGAAAAGTAACGGGGAATATGAGGTGGCATGTGAGCATGTCCACTCATGTTGTGTTCTCCTGGCAAAAACTGACAAGTTCAAGATCAATGGCCAGTGGTTCACATGGATAGACTATGAAAAGTTTCATGATCTGGTGTGTGCCTCTAACAATTATATACTCTTAAGAGTGCCTTTTGGGTGATAATATTTGTTCATTCATCGGTTCTTATGGAAAATTCAGGTGTCTTCCGGAAGACCTTTTGACAGTAAGGATTACATGGCTGCCACACCTTCATGGGCTGTTTATGGTGCAGAGGAAGGTGGATTTGATCCGTATCAGTCTCGATACAAGAAGGAGCGTCATCACAGATCAAACCAGTGACGACCAGGTTTGGATCAGTATGGAGTTTTAGGAAACAGTTTTGCTTGTAGTTTACTTCTTTGAAACAGTTTTGCACAACATGACTACAGTCTACTGATATAGGCACAAGTTATTGTTTAAATGTTGAAATAGTTTATCCCCCTTGTATTCTAGTTATCCTCTGCTTGTTTTTGGGAAAATTTTACTCTCTGATGCTTTTATGTTTCAGCAAAGTCTTTTAAGTTTTTCTATACACCCTTCGCAGTCGAGTCGATGAAAATGTTTTTCCTGTGCTCCTACCGTGTTGTCAGCTCAGCATCCATTTTGGCTCTATTATCCTTTGAACCTAGTAGTAATATTTGGCGATGTATCCTGCCTCAGTGGCCCCTGTATTATTATTGCTGATGTTTTTTTTACTAATTATGTAATTGTTGTTCGCTGGGTCATTCTATAAATGGAAAATTGTCATCTTCGGACCCCCTCCAAATATCGTACACGTCTTTGACAAAAAAAAATATCGTACACATCTTTACACATCATCCACCTCGTTCTTGCATTATTAGTATCATGTTGTCTCCTCCGGGTGTTTATTTAATAATTTGTGATTGCTACAAGGCCAAGGAAATTGTGTCATATCAGTGAATTTATTTCACGAGCATGCTTCAGTCAATTGTGGATATTCCCATTCATGAGAATTTTCAGTTCATTTTCAACCAAACAGACCACCCAAAAATTGAAAGGAAAAAAAGACCTCTTTCAAAAGATTAGCCCGACAAAATTAGAGGCTCATGAATGAAATATTTTGATATTATCCACATGATCATTTCATTAAACTTAAGTTACTATTTAGATGAATCTTGTGCTTAATATGAAGTTAGATAAATTATGTGGTTAATATAGAGGTTCACATTTATGATCCATATATGGCATCTTCACCATAGAATGACTTGTGTCTTCATCTCTCCTGTCTTGTTCTTGTGTGTATAATAATGTTCTTATACACAGAAAACGAAGATGTATAAAAAGAGGTTTTAGTAAGTTCAGTTGATCATGCGTTTGCCGATTTGAAAGCAGTCTAGTTTAAACTGTTGATGCCAATTTGAAACAGGCATTAATTTTAGATTTAATTATTGTTTTACCCTCTGAAACGGGTACTCAATCTCACTTTATCTATGAAACTGAAATTCTCACTTAACCCCCTAGAATCTCTAAATATTGACAATTTTCTCGCTTTATCACTTCCGTCTATTTGACCCCATAAAACCGTTAAATATTTTTCAACCGAAAAATACCATTAAATGAACTGACGTGACATGTGCATTTAAATAATTTTAACTATTAAAAGACTTTAATTAAGACTTGATGAGATATAAGATCTCCATATGCGTCAACAATCAGAAATCGCAATGCCTATGGACCATCGAGCTCACCACAACTCTAATCCTATTCAAGCTCTCTCATCCTAATATGTTTCGGAAAATGCTAGAGGCACCAACTTTGGGCACCAACTTGCTCACCAACTCTCTAATAGAGCGTGGGACCCGTTGTATTGGCGGGCTCCACCTCTATTAGAGAGTTGGTGAGCAAGTTGGTGTCCAAAGTTGGTGCCTCTAGCACCACCCATATGTTTTATGCTAGCAACCTTCTCTCTAACCTTCTCCTTTGGACCTTCTCCCCTCTTTGCTTGACATGTGTCATTCTTTCTACACTTAAAACAATGCCATGAACATATTATACAAGCTAACTTTTGCTTTCCAAGTTTACCCTTATTACATGTATTCAATTTATCCAAAAAAAATTCACAACTTTCTTACCATCTTATTAATATTTTTTTAATGTAAATTATATTTTTTAAGAAAATATGTGCTTTTTTTCTTAAAAGAGGAAATGTCCCTTTTTTTTATTTTTTTTTATAAAACACAAAGGGTTTAGATTTTTTTTTTTTAAAAGTCTAAACTTGACGTTAAAAAAAAAGGGGACATTTCCTTTTCTTTTTTTTATAAACAGATATTTTCTTTATATAAAAAAATAATAAGATGGTAAGAAAGTTGAGAATTTTTTTTGGATAAATTGAATACATGTATAAGGGTAAACTTAGAAAGCAAAAGTTAGCTTGTATAATATATTCATGGCATTGTTTTAAGTGTAGAGAGAATGACACATGTCAAGCAAAGAGGGGAGAAGGTCCAAAGGAGAAGGTTAGAGAGAAGGTTGCTAGCATTTCTCATGTTTTTATTAAAAAAAAAACAAAAAGTTACTTAAAAATAGATGAAGAAAATAAAAAAGGCCCGCGATGACATTGCGCAATTTAATTTGCTTTTGTAGGAAGTGTCATACAACCCATCGCGCTTCAATCAAACAGTGGCTGGTTTGAGTTTATATTCAGGTGGGCACAACAAGTTGATGAGTGGAAGCAGGAAATATGGACCCCACCCCAAAAAAAATAAAAACCACGTACAGACGCGGCTTCAGCCCTGCGCCAATCCATTCCATCCTACTCTCTCATCTTCCTCGAACAAAGTTTCTGAAACAATAAAAGAAAATTACTTTGTATTAATAAATTGGACTTTTCTTCTTCTTTTTTTGTTGCCCACAGGAAAATAAGAAGCTGCTTTGTGATTAAACACGTCCTGCTGTAACTTATGACCTTTACTTCCACAAGCTACATCTTTCTTTGACTTTGTCCTTCATTAAGACTCAATGGACGAGACAGTAAGCTAAGGCACCTAACGCGCCCATGTAACCCCTAACTGCCACGTCCTCCCTATCAAAACCACTTATTGGGTTCCTGAGGCGGCTAGAGCTATATTTATAAAAGCAGCTTTTTCTGGTAGCTTGGATTGGAGTGTTTTTCTTTTGCTTCTTAGTATTAGAACGTGAGCATCACGTGCCAGATGCAGCGACTTGGAACTTGGCATCTACTGGGAATTACTCAGAGCTGGCACTGGCAGTAGCTAACTCAGCAAGAATACGATTTCTGTTTCGATCTTCCCCACCTCCAGATTGCAATCTTCTTCTTTCTGAGAACCCCAAACGCTTTCTCACTCCTCATTCATTGCCCCCAATTCCCTTGTACTTATTTCATTTTCATTTCTATTGTTTTTTTTTCTTTCCCCTTTCAACCTAGAAGTAAAATAACACACAAACCTCCATTTTCCTCCAATCCTCAAATATACACATGTGAAAGAAAAATAATAATAATAATAATAATTTTGATGATAGGAAGCTGAACTAATATATTTTCATCAACCAAACAAGACACAACAAACCCAGTTGCTCAATCTCAATACATGAGCTACTAGTCAATATAAAAGTATCAAATCCATGTCTTTTTAATCTTTAACTACTTGGAAAGTTTTTTGCATACAGAAAAGAAGATGATTATGATAAAAGCCAAGTCCACCTCTTTCTCTTCTCACGTGTTGTATTATCAATCAATTATGCAAAAGAGAAAGAAAGTGAAATAATATAATCAAACCCAGGAGCTGCAAAACGAAGGGAACATCTCAAAGATCAAAACTTTTTTTTGTTGCAGACATAACGTAGAAAGAGGGAAGAACAAGAACAACAAATTTTACCATGAAAGTAACTAATTTAGCTACTCTTTCTGGGTTTGCTTTTCCGCCTAGCTCTACTTCTTGAAGGCTGCCTAGCTTGTCCCTCTTCCTTTTTAGCACCTCCTCTCACAGAAGCCGATGAGGGTTCTTCTTCTTTTATCTTTGGCTGCTCTTGTTGTTCTTCTTGTTGTTGATCTTCATCCTCCGTGGCTTTTGCTTTTTTAGACTGTTCTTCAACATCTTCAGCTGCAGCAGCAGCTTCTTCTGTTTGTGGTGTGGATTGTTCTTCAGTGCTTTCAGTTTTCTCAATGATCTTGCGAGGTCTTCCTCTCTTTCTTGGGGTATGAGGCTGAGGCTGTGATTGCTGCTGCCCTTCATCTCCAGTTGATGGAGCTTCAGCTATAGCTACTGAAAGCTCCTTCGTTTTCTGAGGCTTCTTCTTACCCATAATAGAATTTTTTTTCTCTATCAAATAAATAATAACAATAAAGCTTTTGATAATTATAATTCCAAGACAACAACTTTTCTCTTAATCTGAATTCTCAAGAGAAAATTAAACCCCACACCGCCAGAAATAACCCTTAGCTTCTCTCTCGCTCGCTCTCTCTCTCCCTCCCTCCCTGAGGTCTCAATGGGGAGAGCAACTAGACTCGTATCTTTGACCTGCACCTAAATTCTGGAAATCCCATTAAAATAATTTCTTTGAGTCATATCCAAGACCCAATAAAAATCGACCTCCTCCTACTATCTACTGATTAAAATAACCAAATAATCTTTAAAAGCTCAAAGGCCAATGAAATAATTATATTTCCCTTTTTTCCTTTGTCCATTTTTCTATATAAATAAAGAAGCTAGAAAAGACAAGGAGGAGGAAATGAGGTCGAAAGGCAGTGAGAGAAAATAAGAGCCTCCATCCATCCATCAGCCTCTTATGAAAATATATGGGGGTGGCTGAGCCTCAGGGTAACCATATATTTACCATGGTTAGTGTCTTTTTTCTTTTTATATTTTATTTTGTTTTTGGGTACGATTATTAGCTAGCTACAGCTAGGGCTTCAGGGTTGGACCAAAGGGCTAATGGCTTGTTTTTGTTTTTGTTTTTTTTATTAATAATAATAATATTATTATTATTAGTATTATGGTGATGAAATTTGAAAAGAGGGGGAGGGGCATGTGCTTTGTATTTTTACGTGGGTAAAGATGGGATGCACTTGTACTGTGAGACTCAGTGTTGCAGTCTGACCACCTGTGTCGCTTCCCCGGGTTTCGCGCCTTTTGAGCTTTGATACCCTACTTCTACTTCTTAGCTGTACCCTACAGACTACCTCTTGACCCTTGATGTTTGATCTTTCATCTTTGATGGATTGATGGATGGATGGATGGATAGAAATCGATCATCTTCATCAATATTCGTTTGAGAGTGTGCCCCACTTTATCAGCCTTCATCATTGATGCGTATGCGTTTGGCACCTGTCCCTTTGTTCTTATTTCTATTCCTACGAAATTAATTAATTAAAGGAAGAAAAAGAAACACACAAAATCCACTACAAAATTAATATATGACTTTTTGAGCAAGCCTGCTTATCCAAATGTCGAGTTCATTTTTCCACTCTCTTTTTATCCATTTATATATTATCTTCCTTAAAAAGAGTAGCCATGCGTGACAATGATACTAACAGTTCCAACTAGTAATATGGTTTGTCACTCATTAATCATCACCCATCCTTTGGGTTTTCTTATATAATAAAATTAGAATTCATAAAAAAAAAATTCAGAAAACCAGAGGGTTTTTTTATTTTTTTGAAAAAAAGGAGGAAGTGGGGGGAGTTCATGATCTTCTTGCAAAGCTCAAAATGTTTTGTGGGCCTGACATGCACGCTATTGATAAATGAAGGAATTCAATTGAGTTTTCCATACTAGTGAATGTCAATATAATATAACAAAAGTACTAATAAACATTTTGCCTATTTTATGATAATAACAGTACGAAAAAAACATTTCATTTATATATATAAGGTTGGGTTGCCGAAAGGTTTTTAAGATTTATTTGACCGACCAACAAGGTCAAAGTTTGTAAATAGTCCCCGTAAGTTCGTAACTCGCACGCGACTCGTGGAAAGTTGCGTAGACGCGTCATCCGACTTGTCTCGTAAGCATTTGACAGCTGCCGACGGCGAATATGTGATGGCCGGTGGGTCCAAGAACGGATAAATCAACTATTACAATTTTAATCCTATAATTTTTCCAAACTGATTTTAATTTATTTTCGTCTAGAAACAAATGGGACTTCACATATGATTTGTTATCGTGATGTGGCATTAGGAAGCTGCCACATGTTGTCAAGGTCAAATGGTCAACGAGAGGTTGAGCAGCTGCCACATTTCTTGTTTCTTAAAGGAGGCTAAATCAACAATATAATAATGTATGACATTCTAATACAACATATGTTATATAAACTAAGCAGGTTGTATTAAACATACGTTACCAAATTCAATAAGGCCAGATTGGGTTTGTTCTTCACCTACACAAACCTGTAATGGGCTATTTCTGTGCCCTATATAATGAACGCTTTGAAATGCATTACAATTTTACTTCAAGCCCAAAGCATTTGGACTAGAAATGGCTATTATGATCCTTAGTTTTTGTGTTATCAGGCTTGTTTAAATTGCACCCACCAAAGAAAGATAAATACAAAGAGAAGGTGCTTCCATGCATCGAATCATTGCAGGCTTAGCAAAGTTGGCTAGAGCGGGTGTGCTTCTTATTTTACATTTGAGTTTATAAAAGATTTGGTGTATTCAATTCAAATTTCAATTTACTTTAAAAACGTGAGAAATGAATCTTCCATTCCATGAACTGAACAAGGCCTATAAACTTTAAACATGCTCTACACTTTCTATTCTTTAAACGGGTGTGCTTGTCAAGTGGAGGTAAAAAAATCTCCTATTTTTCTATTACACTTTCATATATGCATGATCACTTATCAATAGTTTTCCCAATAATTGTTGTTGTACATCATATATCATATATCTTCGATATCGATATTCTTTGAACGTGTGTTCTTCTCTTTGAATAGTTGCTGTTGTTGTACAACATATATAGATGTACAGTAGCATCCCAATTATTCCTTCTTCTTTTTTTATTTTTTATTTTGGTTGCTGTTATTTTTTATTTGTTTATGTACATCATTAGTTTACATTCATTTAAGGTAGATTATCGTATATATATATAATACATTGAATCCTTAGTTTTATCCTTCAAAGAAGGAAAATAAATAAATTTAAAGACATTAATTTTTTTTTTTGGTTGAAATAAAGCCATTAATTTCTCACTAAGCTTTTGGCCATGCCTATCCCTTTCAGAGACAGCAGCCTCGTGAGTGCAAATTCTTTGCCTCCCAATCGGATAAGAAGATGAAGATGAGTAAAGGTCAGAGAAGGCCCATATCACCATCCTCCTACAAAACCCATCACCCCATTTCAGACATTTCTTTGGAGACTTTCAGAATACACACACTTCAACCTTTTTTCGACCCAAAAAGAGGAAATAGACTTTGCTTTTTTATTTTGTTTGATTTTTTTGACGACTTGGGTCACTAATATTGGTAGCCGCGAATTCTGGGCGAGTATCAAAAGATTCAACCTTGGAGTTGGAGGTGGACACCGGAAAGCGATTTTGTTTTTTCGAGAAGTCAATCTCTTTTGCTGAGATTGTGGATGGAATTGAAACAATTACTTGGTAAGTTTGGTTTATTTCAAATTTCATTTCATAGCCATTTATTTGTTTGTGGCTCTGTATGGTTCGAGACCGAGAGACATTTGGCTGCTTGCGTGACGTGTGCTTTGATGGCTAATTGTGGGCGGTTTTGCAGCATATATGTATATGTGTGTTTTTTTTCTTTTCAGTACTTTGTAATATTGTCTTGAAAATAATTACAGAGTTGTATATATTGAGTTTCAGTTCGTTTGCTTTCTTTTGAAACTGCACGAAATTGAATTTGAAGACGGAGATGTGAATTGTTCAGTTCTTGTTTAATTCCAGGAGCTGCTGGTGGGTCTCCCTGTTTCAATCCCCTGAACAAAAAATATATATATCTTCTTTGTGTTTTTTGGTTGAAGTTTCTTTTTCGTGGAAGATTATGTCAGTGCAGTGTTAAGCTCTAAACTTTAATCTGTAAAACAAGTGTTTTTCCTATTTTCTCAGCTTGTTCAATTAGTTTTTGTGGATATTTGATTCGAATTGGATTGATTTGCTATATTTTTTAGCTAACTTTCTCTGCTAATCCTATTTCTGTACATATCTTTAGCTTTTATGAAGTTAGGTTTCTGTTTATCTTTCGCAAGGAGAGTGAGAATGTATATTTTTCTTTTCAGATTCTATTTATGAGCCTGTACCCTTTCAGTTGTGAGTTTGACTTATTTTTTTCCTCATTCCAAGGGTTTCTGTTCCTAAATTTAGGTTTCTATTTTTCTTTTTCCCCTTAAAATACGTTTTTGCTTGGAAAGCCAACCTTTTCTTCATTATGTTCTGGTTTCATGGATTGGAGTTGACCATCCGGATTTCTGGGGTTTATTTTTTGGTGTGATTATCTGAACATAGATAATATTCTTGTCTTTTGTTAACAGGTTTCTTATGCCAGTCTGAGTTCACCTTGTATAGTTCATACTACAATGACATCGCCATTTTAGTCAATATTGAGGGATTTGAGTAAGGATCACCCTCCTTAACAATGGATGGTTTGAATGGAAGAGCGAACAATGGGGATGTTGCCAATCCTGACCTCCAGATTATTAGATACTCACCTTACCAGCCCTGCAGTAAATTAGCTTCATCCTGGTTTGATCTGAGAGTCTTCTATGTGAGGGTTAGCAACTTTAAGGTCGATGATTCAACCCCAAAGCATCTTACTCTCAACCACATTCCTCTATTCCCAGATACCCTTTTGGAAATCAATGGTGCTAAAAGTAGCATTTTTTCCGAAGGTGTCTCTTCACATCTTAGAAGGGATCGGGTCGATAAGAAATCTGAAGAAGCCACATTTGTGAATACAGACAGCATAAGGCTGACGGGAAGTGCAAAATTTGAGGTGTTTGACAAAGAAGATCTCATCCTGTCTGGGGTGTTAGATATGTCTAATAGCAATGGTTTCACTGGTGAATCAAAAAGCAATGCCAAGCGATGGAGCATGAATTGTGAATCAGAGATTACCGCTGGCACTGGATTTTTGAAGGGGAAACAACTTGGTGGCGCTGAATTACCTGCACCAACCATTGAGGTTTACATCACAGGCTGCTTCTCTGGGACACCAATCATCTTAACCAAGACCCTGCAGCTTAATTTCCGGAAGAAACATAGTAGGATGAGCACGCTGGATGCGATCCCCGAGTACGAGACAACTGAATGCCAGAAAGATGTCTCTCCTGGGCTTGCTATGGAGGTACATACTGAAATTTGTGTGATAATATGTTCTCTCAGTTTTTTGCCTTAGTTGCGTTCATATGGTGTCTTAGGGCAGTGTTGGCATGTGCATGTTGTAAGGGGCTAGGTTCTGATTCTCCAAAATAGTTTCCTGTGTTCATCTAGTGCTTCAGTCTAGGCTCAGTATTTGTTTGTTATCATGGAGAAATTCATCTTAAGTTTTGTTCTCCAGTCCTTATAGTCATATGGGTAGATGAGGTTATTGAACAATCTCGTCGTGTGAGAGGCAGGGCTCCGTGATCTGAAACTATATAGCGGTATGGGGAAATTGTTGCTCTTTGTTACCTTATTGTTGCGGGTCTTTTGACTGCCTGTGCTTCCTACTCAGAAACATGTTTCTTGTTACTGAAATCCCTTATTGTTATACAAGCACTTGGAAACAGAATCTTATCTTAATGGTTTGTCATGGCACATGGGTCTCATGGGCAGGGCACAGTTTTCAAGTGATGGGGTTATACTCAATTGCCCATTTTGTTTTCTGTTGCATTGTTTTTCAAATCCTTGTTTTTCTGGAGTCAGACATGGATTGGCCTCGTCCAAAGACATGTGCCGATGGCCTGTCGTTGTGGGGACCACATTCTGCTGGGTAGTTGTAGACAGTGCTCTGAGGTTGGATTGGCCTTTTATTATCTTGGATTGTTCATAAGTTGTGTCCTGTGTCCATTAAAAAATCGGACTGAGCTTGTTAACTTTGATCCATAGTTTGTACCCTAACTCTCCCTCTTTTCCTTTAGATCGGATAGGTAATGAGGGCAAGAAGTTAGTAGTTGAGAGCTTTAATTACCCTGGTTAGGATGGCATCCATGAAATTTTTTCAGCTGGTTTCCCTCCTTCTTAAAGAGGGTAAGGAAGGGGTAAATAATTAGACCTTATGTCTTCCTTCATTTGTTGGATATCATTCTTCGTAATCCTTATCTGATGCGTTTAACTGTTTCTATCTCATTTATTTTCATTATTTATTCTTTGCTTGGGGTGTTGGATTCCCTAATCTTTCTTGAATTACAGGTAGCAGAATACGGAAACTACAAGCCAGAGAATGAGGAAGAGTACAGCAACCTGTACTGGAGGAGGACAGAATATATGGATGGGGAAGATGGCGAGCTCTCATGGTTCAACGCTGGTGTGAGAGTTGGCGTCGGTATTGGACTCGGCGTTTGTCTCGGAATTGGTATCGGGGTCGGTTTGCTGGTCCGTACTTACCAAACGACCACTCGAACTTTCAAGAGGCGGCTGGTGTGATTCCTTTAATCTGGGCATACCGAATTCCAAAGGCAGCTAAGTTCGTCTATGTCTGACATGCATCGTGAACTACAGATTTTGACTTAGCACTGTTTGTGTAGCTGACAGTTATTTGTTTTTGTATTTTCTCTTTAATTTTCTCCATAAACGCTTGATGAGAGGTTTGTTTAGAAGGGAAGGGTATGATAGATATCTAGTTCCTGGGTAATGGAAAGGGATAACAGTCTTTTATTTGGCCGCCAATGTATATACCTTGTCTAAAGATTGTATTTCGTTGTAAATAAGATCTCTTTCTCCAAAGCTAGTAAAGGCAAAGCTATATTGTTTCATTGTTACTTCCGCGTATACCTTCAAGAGATTACATTCACATGAATTTCCCAGACTTGCTTTAATGTCAAGGAAACTTCATTGGGCAGGGTAGAGATGGCGTAATGGTGGGGTTCATTACGAAAATTTGATTAAGTTGGGATATGATGAGACATAAAAATGTATTTCAAGATCTGCTTTAATTTCTCAGTTGAAGTCAAATGATCCTACCACTTTGGCATAGGACTTGAGAGGTATATATCAGATGAGGAACAATATCCATATAATATAATAAAATAAAATCAGATTGCTACTTTGTTTTTTTAAATGGTAATGTCTAGCTGTAATGTAGTCTCTCTCGCCAAGGCACTCAGATACCTCTCCTGCAAGAGAAAAGGTCCCCAAGGAACTAATAATTTCCTGCCGGATTGTTGCTTGCAGGCTTTAAGCTCATGTTAGCTTACCAGCACACCCAGTTGGTCCATCTCACTTATTCTCATATACTTATGAGCTCCTGCTATGGAGGTTTCCGGTGACGATTCAGCTGGCTACCGGTGCAAGGCACACCGGTTCAGGAGCCACCTCAGCTCCAGAATGCCCGTTACCATAATGTGGTAGCTTGTCATCGCGACCCCAAAAGGCAGCTGATCTCACATCATCTTGAGTCATTAATTTCGAGAACTCCTCATGGTCATAGTTTAGTATGGCATGCCCTCCAAACTCAGTAGGGAGATTTTTCTCATCAAAATATTGCTTCATAAGCTCCACGCTGTCTTTATTCTTGGGGTAAACAAACTTGACCTTGTGGAATGTCTTGTTGTCCAAGAAGTACTTGACAATCTGCACCAACAGAATAGGGCAACACAGCTTCTCAGATTCTCAATTGAATTCTCTCATGAATTTGAATGATTTCAAAATCATAACAGTAATTCAATTTCATATTGTTGACGGAAAAAAAAACAAGCGTGAAGCAACTCTTAAAATTTAAAACAAGTTAACTTGGAACAGCTGCAAAAAGATCATAAGTTAATGGAGATATCTGCTTCATATCAACAACAAACTCATAGGCCTAGTAGTTTGTCTTAATTTGTACTGTCTGGGAGCATGTGAAGGAAAGGACCACAGCGTTAGCATGAACCAAGAAGACTATTGATCCTTGTGGCAGAGGTGATATTAATGAAGCCGTGAGAAGCAACTAGGAAGAATAAAACTCAAACCTTCCAAAATGCTTCAAAAATCCGTGGGGGGTTGTAGAGAAATGCTACGCCTAATCTCTCAGGGTAGTGGTTCTGTAAAATATTGATGGTGTCTCGTGCAGATTTGACAGGCACGGTAGTACTTAGCGTCCACCCGGTGAAGTCTATCAACCACGCCATCTGCTCTTGGCCCTCAGGAAGGTTGAAGACAGCATTCTCTATGAGATAGACTAGATGACGCATTTGATTGTCTATTGAAACCGTGTTCTGCGACATTTCTAGCAGCATTAAACTTCAGCCTAATGAAGAAAGCTGAAGGAATTAACTATATGAATTGACAACGCTTAATACCTGCATTCCTGGTCTCAGTATAAGAACAGTCCTCCCACTACGATCACGAAAACTTGCTCTGTAAACTTTTCCAGTCTCACCCTCATTTGCAACTTCGCGCTGACAATATAACCCATGTAAATAAGTCAGCAGAAATTTAAAGCACGAAACAGAGACCATTATAATATGGAAAGCGATTTACCCAGCAGATTTCCTCAGGCTTGTAGGTTGATCTCCACTTAAGTGTTTCTTCCAACATTTTCTTGGCTTTGTCTACGTTCCAATTCCGTGCCTCCAAATATCTCCTGAAGCATGCATCAGTGCAGAACTGTAAACTACGCCCGGATAGCGGTCCAATTGCAGCCTTCAGCTCGTTGATCTGCACTTAATTGCAGTATGAAGTCAACTAAGAAATATTTCTTGGCAAGGTGAACATCATTTTCCCTTCAAAACTTTTAAATTTCAAACTTGTCATTACCTTCACTTCATGCTGTAATGGATCATTGTCTTGGTGCTGGGAACTGCTCCAGCGGCGAAACATGCTCACGGATTATTTGATACCACAATCGTTTGGAAATTGAGTTCAAATTCACCTAGAACATCAAACATCACACAAGATAAGAAAGTACCATGCGTAATTAAGCAACAGAAAAGATTGAAATCGCATCACAAAGAGAGGCCAGATTGAACATTCAAGTTTGTTAAACAAAACACGAAGCATAACTTTGCTGAAAACCGCAAAATAAAAAGCAGTAATTCTGCATTTAGCAGTGAACCTCACCAGCCAACAAGTAATTTAGCCACAAGGCCATAAACTTGACGACGAGGTAATATATTCTAGGATGTTTAGTTTCATGTCGTCAAAACTACGTAGTTTCCACGGTGAGATTTTGACTTCTAAATAGGTTTTAGTGAATAATATAATACTGTAAATCAGAAACTAACCAGACCAGAGTGGTTCCAATTTCCACTATCTCAAGAGTTGCAGAAAAAATGATAAATAAATGAAGAGCAATCACGCAAATTGCGCTACACATCAACTAATGAAACGTGATTCAACCAAACCCATCTTCCAAGAAAGAAAAAATCAGACAAGACCCAGAAGTCAACAATGAAATAACCCAATGCTCCACAAAAAACTGAACCTGAATGAAAAAAATAATGACCCGAAAGAAAATTAAATGAACAATATTGATTGTTGACCGTTCAGCAGGAGATATTTCCACATATGGGCCCCGGAAATACAAGGTCTCTGTTTTATATGCTTGTCTGCCTATAATAATCAATCCTAGGTAGTCAAAAGGTGACTGTTCCATTTTCCAAGCTCAATTCTTTTGACTTTTATTAAGGCAATCCGGAAGGATCACAACAAACCCAGAAATCAGAATTGCTACTATGCATTACAAAATAAAACAAAAATTCATTATTAAGGAAACGAAAAAAATCCCATCTTATGCATCAAACAATTTTCAAGTGAAATATGCAACATAAAAAAACAGAATAAAAGACATGAACAAATTGTTAGAAGGCAGACACATGAACAGAGAAAAGGAGCTCCAAAGAAAGATTTAAACAGAGAAAACTTACCTCTACCTGCAGCTCCAAACCTCAAACTTTGCCAATTGCCAGGAAGAGAGAGAGAGAGAGAGAGAGAGAGAAGGGGGGCTGTTTTGTTCACGAAAATGTCATGACTTACACATGAGAAGAGAGCCGGTGACGAAAAATGAACAGGAAAAAGGGGGAAGACTGAAACCCTTTTGGAGTGGCTTGCGTCCTGTTATGACAGGTCCAGATATTTTGGCCCTCCAGAGTGGGAGAGAGTGGACTCACTCTCGTCTTCTATGCTGCTTGCTGCTGCTTTCTTCTTCTTTCCTTTAGGTGGCGGCAATATTAAAGGCACTGTCCGGTGTCGTTTCAAGCAATGACAGGCGGCCAAAGCCACCCCCACGTGTTATCTGGAACAGGTCAAGACAAGACGCGACAGGCAAGTGGGGCCAAGTGGTGACGGGTAAGTACGTACGCCTGTCAGTTTTTCAACCTCTTTAGTTGCATGTGTGGCCTGTGCGAGAGAATCAACGGTCCTGGTTTGCTGCCATACAACGTGGCAAAATCTTAGTGGAGGATTTAATGATCTTCTTGGACCTCTCTCTGTTGGGTAAGTTGAAAAAGTGGAGCATATGCGAACACCGACCCCCAAAAAAAAAGTTTGTGGTTGTGGAAAAACTAAAAAGATGTGGATTTTTCAAATAAAAATGGATTCTAGAAGGAGGTGTATTATTAATGAAAAGGAGATGACTTTAGAGCATCTACATTGCAAAGAATAAAGGGAAATGTAAAAGACATTTACACCCACAATTGTCCTAATAGTGAGATGTAAATATAGTATTTGGCCAAAAAATGTAAAAGAAATTGACATTTACATCCCCACTTGTTGGGCTCCACAGGCGAAAAAGAAGGAGAGAGAATGCAGAAGTGGCGGTTCCACCAAACATAGAAAAGGTGAGATAGCTATCAAAATACCAGAAATATCATTTTACATCTATCTCATTGAAGAAAAAACGATATTTACGTGTAAAGGAGAATTTACACCTCTTGCAATGGAGAAGGATTTTAAGGGTTTTACAATCGGAAGGCCTGTCTGTCTGGTAGCAGGAGCCCCGTTCCCCATCGGAAAAGTAAAACCTGTGGGTCTTGTCTCTGTTTGTTTGTTTGTCTGTGTGGGCGTCTTCGATACGTGGCGGGTTCTCTACGTCTTGTTGGCAAGGGGCAAGTCAATATCTGCCAACTTTAAACTAGAAATACTTTTATTTTCTGTGGTTCATCTGTTGCGTTGTGTTGCATAACTTGTTTGAATTCAGGCATCGTACAGGCTGTACAGCAATTTGGTGTTGGCCTTTTGCACTGATAGCAAGAATACGATTCCCCATTCCCAGCAAAAGAAGCTACCACCATACTATTACTGAAACATAACTCACAAGTAAATAGCAAAAGATTTTTCTTCGATCTAAAGACTTCGCAGATAGAAAAATACAATATCTCTGACTTTGCAATGCAATCCCAAGTTATTCCAGGCGTATCAGGTTCTCTTTTTCCTGCATAACATAAGTTTACGGAAGCAACACCCCTACAAAATAGTTTCATTAAAACAGCCGAAATGATTTCATATAGAAAAAAAATGGAAAAGTCGCTTGAATTGGTATCTTAAAAATTGATTTAGTCAGTTGATGTAACGGATCCAGGTGGATTCGAACCACCAACCTCCCAAACCTCTTATAGTTTGGGCGCTCTAACCAATGAGCTTATGGATCCACATAAATAGATAACACCCCTCCACGACCAAGCCACACCCAAATTTTAGAAGCCCAAACAATATATATATATATATGCACATCATTCTAATAAAAATGGAGCTCACTTGGAGCCCACCAATACACTGAGACCCAAATATATTAAAGATGTAGCACTCACAATATGATATATAAATGTCATATCCCTAGCATTTTCCAATTTTTAAGGAAAAGATGTTGAGTTAGACACTGCATATTAATAATCACCTCCATTGACAATAATTTCTTTGGAACCAAAAGCATCAATATAATTACATAATATTTCAGTCCCCCTCATGGTCACATTAACACATTACTTAAAGGGAGAGGGAGACAAGAGGAAGGGCAAAGAGAACCGCAGCATGATAAATAAAAGGCAGTTCTGTAAGTTAAGTCAACAATGGGCTTTATATCCACACAACAGACAACACAATACGGCTAATTTCAAATCGATGATAAATACGCATGCATTGTGGGTTCCCATGGAGACAATTCCAGAACTAGTTGCAATTTACCTTTGATCCAAACAAACTGAATTTCAATCTCCTTCAATAAAAAAAGAGACAACACTGAAGGATAATTGACAAGGCGAAAACCAAATTTCAAAAAACCACACGATTTATGTCGTCTTTTGCTGATCACCAAATACTAGAGCACAAAAGAAGCGAGCATTTCCATTATGTTGTTGTTGCCTCTGATGATCACCAAATTACAAAGGGAGGTCCACAGCACAGCACAAGAATAGCAGCAGAGATCAACAAATTACATCTCCATCGTGTTATAGCTCCATCCATGAATAGCTGAACAGCTACAGACAAAAGCAGATGCCATAATATTTAGTTCAGATCAATGACTGGTCAGGAAATTAGTCAGTATACTATAGATGAATGCCGGTCATCAAACAGGAAAATTAAGTAAATGCTAGTATTTCACTTACCAATTATATATTCAACCTCAAAACTGTGTTTCCAATGCATCAACCAGCAGGACAGCCTCTGAACTCTTCCACACGAGAAGTTTGTCGTAAACCAACTCTCAGATCAGAACTGCATTCTTCCACATGAGAAGTCCATGGTGGAACATATTGTTTTAGGATTTGTGAACCATACGATTTCTATTATGCTTAGAGAGACAATGACGTTCCAAGCTGGTAGGAGAGTAAAGTTTTTACAGGTACATATGGAACGGACTACTCACACACCATCCCCAATTACAGCACCAAGGATCAAGTCTATCACTCTCCCCATGCCATTACATAAACAAACCAAAATAATGATACATTTTGCCTTGAATACTGTGATAACATCTCTCACATCCACATATTGACAAAATAATCAAACTACCAAATATAGCATACACATAGGGAGAAAATCAAATTAATAGCAAAACAACACTCGGCTCAAAGAGATTGAAAATTCTCATAAAAACTTTGATTCAATTTAGTGAGATATTCTCCTGGTTGTTATGTAAAACTCAAATGGGACTTACCAGTAGGACAGCCTCTGAACTCTTCCACACGAGAAGTTTGTCGTAAACCAACTCTCAGATCAGAACTGCATTCTTCCACATGAGAAGTCCATGGTGGAACATATTGTTTTAGGATTCGTGAACCATACAATTCTATTATGCTTAGAGAGACAATGACGTTCCAAGCTGGTAGGAGAGTAAAGTTTTTATAGGTACATATGGAACAAACTAATCACAGACCATCCCCAATTACAGCACCAAGGATCATGTCTATCACTCTCCCAATGCCATTACACAAACAAACCAAAATAATGATACATTTTGCCTTGAATACTGTGATAACATCTCACATCCACATATTGACAAAATAATCAAACTACCAAATATAGCATACAAGTCGGGAGAAAATCAAATTAATAGCAAAAAATAACTCGGCTCGAAGAGATTGAGAATTCCCATAAAAACTTTTATTCAATTCAGTGAGATATTCTCCTGGTTGTTATGTAAAACTCAAATGGGACTTAAGTGCACAGTAGAAGTGTTTCTTTATATTGTTATCCACCAGGAAACATGAATATGGCAAATAAATGCGCACTGGGCATGTAAATTAAACGCAGATCCACACTAGGTAATGGTAATTTGAAGGCCTTGCAAAAAATGCTACATCTTCACAATTTATATAAACACAATGTTGGAATGTTTTTTGTTACAACTATCGTATATGTGTGGGAACAATTCCATTTTGTAGATTTTCCCGATTGCTATGATAGATTGAAAAGGAGCTTCCAATAGAGCTTCAATAGTTTACCTCATTTCTATCTGTAGCCATTAGGAAACATGAATATGACAAATAAATAGCAAATGCTTTCTTGATGTCGGTGTGTGCAACTAATTCCTACAGAAGATGAGATACACGGTTTTGGAATGTTTGCTGTTAACCTAACTATATGTGAACTAACTGGCGAGAATGTTTCTCTTGATCGTTGTTAAACTAACTATGTTCTAAGAATGATTTTGTTTTCTCTAGATTTTCTGCACATTGTTTTTGAAATTAAAGAATCAATAAGTGCGTTGAGAGCTGTTAATTACCTTCTCCGTGAAGCCAGATTGGTATCCTTGTTGGCCTTATCCGTGCCAGCAAATTATGATTGGCGTGCAAATGTAGATATGCAAGCATAGACCAGACAGAATAAACGAGAGAGAGAGAGAGAGAGAGAGAGAGAGAGAGAGAGAGAGCGCGCGCGCGCGCAGAAGGGGGAAGAGCCGGGCGGGAAAAAAAAATATTAACCCCGTGCCTCTTCCCCCCAAAACCCAAAAAAATAAATTTATTAGGGATTTTTTGACCTGCCATGCAAGCGCACCTGCAATGGCAAAGGTCTGAGAACAAACACTCATAATATTAACAGATCATATACCTTGGATCTCACTCTTTCCTAGCTTCCCTCGGTCAGCCTAGATCCATTGTCTTCATGATTAAATTATTATAACAACTTACAAAGAGAGTATCAGTTTCATGATTATGTGGATCATCCATCGTCTTCATCACAATCCAAGCAAGTTAAGCAGAGAATCGTACGAGCAAAATTAAGCAATTACTCCGTTGACAATTAGCGACGGTTTATCGTCTGAAAAAAATAATAAAAGAACAAAGTAAATGAGGAAACAGGCAAGCTCAAGAAGCATAAAGTTAAATTTAATCGGATCCAATATATACCTTGACGGATTGATGAGGGAGAATATTCCGATCTTTCCCGATTCGAAATGGAAACGAGATTGTTACGTTTCGGTATGAACAGATCCAGAGCCACGACCGGTAAAATTCATAAGGGAAGATTTCCGGTCTTTCCCGATCGGATAAGAAATTGAGATTGAGCTGATGTTATGTGAACAGAAATCGGAAACGAAACTGGATTCAGGAAGAACGATTTCCGATTTGCGGATCGGATCGCTCAAACTTATCCGATCCGAAACGAAAACGAGAAACTGAACATGTGACATAGACAACATTGGCCGCGAAACTTTGAGCGGGAAAAGAAACGAGTTACCGAAACGTAAATCAAGAAACGGTACGGTCGAAATTTGTTTGAGAAAAATCAAGAAGAAAAGATCAACAAGAAAACAAGAGATCTATGATAAAGGTTGCGAGAGGCCGAAAGAAAACAAACGATCTGTCGGCAACGGTAAATAATGATGAAAAATGACCTGGGGTCGTGTATTTATATTGGAATGTATGCACAATCCAACGGCTGTGGTGATTGGCTTAAAATATCAACCGTCGGATTCACATTGTTAAGGAAACACCTGAAAATTTGGCGATTCAAGCCCGTAGACTTGGGCAAGGAATCGACGGCTCTTATGCGAAGAAGGTTCTCGATGGTTGAGATATTTTTTCTAACCGGCACACGTGGTTTGCATGTTGCCTGGTGGTTGGTTCAAAATAGACGAACTTGGGTTCGAATTCGGAAAACCAGTCGTGGGCTGGGCTTTCTCGAAAAGACAACTACCTTGCACATAGGGTTCGGAAAACCAGTCATGGGCTGGGCTTTCTCTAAAAGACAACTACCTTCCACAGAGGCCCAACTATAAATTCTTTGTATTTGTTAACGAAAAGCAAGTTTTTGTGTGTGTGTGTGAAAATAATAAGGGCCCTTTAATTCGAATGGAAATCAAATTAAGATTATTAATTTCTCAACAGTGGTCTTAATTAGGGGTGGGTATCAATCCGGCCGAATCGATAAAATCAGCTTAATTAAATCGTAATTATTTGTATGGTTTGGTTTTGAAAAAAAAAAGGTTAAACGGTTTAAAAACTGAACCAGATCGTATATGACTTGGTTTAGTTTGATTTTTAGCTTTTGTAAACTGGCCTAAACTAAACGGGACCGTTTATGTGTATATTTATTATATTTTACACGTGTAATACTCTAATTAGGTAATAACTATATATGAATATTTGAATTGAGCTATATTAGTAATTGAAATTTGAAGTTTTATGACATGTTAGGCTTTAGGATGGTTTCGTACTCTTAAAAATGATTTAATTGTGGAGTAAATTGTGAATTTTTTTGTTGTAATTGGGCTAGTAATATTTAAAAAATGCAAAAGGAAAGAGAATTGGGCTTAGGCCCTAACCAGCCAAACCAATCTGAAATCAAACTGTCGTAAATTGGGTTGGTTCGGTTTGGTTTTCTTTCGGATTTTTATCAAAATCGAACCGAACTAAACCATTATAGTGTAATTGGTTCGATTGTGATTTTAAGGTGAAAGAGATCCAATCTGGATCGTGTCCGCCCCTAATCTTAATCAACTAATTGAAATTTGAAGTTTTATGACATGTTAGGCTTTAGGATGGTTTCGTACTCTTAAAAATGATTTAATTATGGAGTAAATTGTGAATTTTTTTGTTGTAATTGGGCTAGCAATATTTAAAAAATGCAAAAGGAAAGAGAATTGGGCTTAGGCCCTAACCAGCCAAACCAACCTGAAATCAAACTGTCTTAAATTGGGTTGGTTCGGTTTGGTTTTCTTTCGGATTTTTATCAAAATCGAACCGAACTAAACCGTTATAGTGTAATTGGTTCGATTGTGATTTTAAGGTGAAAGAGATCCAATCTGGATCATGTCCGCCCCTAATCTTAATCAACAATCACACGCAAGTAGGAGTAATGTGATGAAAATTAAGTATGATGAGGAAATCTAAGGAATGTGAGATAATTAAGAGTGAATGGGTTTCTCTTTCAATTAAAACAGTGTTTGCTTTAAGAGTAAATATTAGTCGGATAATATAAGAAGTAAAATTAGACACTAAATGCCAATGGGTTCCCACCACAGTGGTGGTGGATTCCCCCTTCCCCCCATGGCACCCAGGATCGAACCCCAGTGGGGTTTCTTTCCTCCAATGTAACCAAAAAAAAAAAATTAGACACTAAATAGGAACGGTATAAGTTTTTTGTTTTGTTATTATTATAAAGAATCGAATTATAAACTTTTTTCAACATTGGAAAGAGAAGGATGGTTAGTCAATTGAGCATGCGAAGGTTATGTGTGAGAGGAGGCAGTCGGATCCGCTGTCTCCATCTTTGCTTTATTTTACTAATGTTATGAGGTTAAATTTTATTTTTTTAATAAAATTTTAAATTCTATTATTCTAAAATTATCTTGTTATAGAAAGCAAAGCATAAAAAACTCGGTGAATGGAGATGACATCACAAACGATGCTTTCCATGAGTCACGACGGAGAAAAACTAGAAGACACTCAACCAAACGCAGATACCATATTTATTCATGGAACCTGCATCATGCACTTAATAATAGTGTCATTGTTTTTTTTGTTTTTGTTTTTTTGGAAAGTCGTCTCATCCGAACTCAAGATGTTAATTGCTTATTTAGTTGTCAATTTCAACCCTTCATAATTGATTATCCTCTGTCGTGAGTTATACGTTTCCCATTTTCCACTTTCTTCCGAATCATCATGAAGAGTAAAAGTTTCAGAGACTCTTCCCATGGAGAGAGAAGCAGAAGCAGATACTCATACCCATTTTAAGACCAAGCGAAACAGGAAAAAGTTGCTGAAAAAGAAAGCTTGGAAGAGAAGCTTCTTGAAATCTCAGCCATTGCTTAGATTGGAATATAAGTCAGGCACACGAATGTCACACAGATAGAGAGAGAGCTGACGTTCACTCAAACCTTTCTATGCTATTATGATCAAAACAATTTCTATTAATATTATTTTTATTTTTATTTTAGCTGGGACTAGACTTCCCACCTAAACCAAACTTTGAAAGGATCCTGCCACCCACAAATTAAAGTAACAGACCATCCCTTCTCATTTCTGTATTTGTAAATGAAATCTACCAATTTGTAGCTGGATGATATTGGAGAGAGCTGAAACAGAGTTGCTGCACTGCAAGTCTGCAAGCACAACATGGCGAAGCGATCGGATTTTGCGCAGAAGCTGTTGGATGATCTGCGCGTCCGGAAGGAAAAAATGGCTGCACCTCAGAGCTCCAACCGTTCTAACTCAATGGCCATAGGTAAAGTATTTAAGAATTCCACATTTAATTGTTCATCATTAGCAAAGAGCATGAATTAAGGCTGCAGTTTAAGCTATATTACTTAAAGCAGAAAGAAATACTTCTTGAAGAAAAGCTAAAACACAAACACAATTACCTTGTTTGTACTTTGTTTGTGAGAGCTAGAAGTGATCAGGTGATGGGCCAAGGAACATCCTTTTACCAGGGCTGCAAGTAATCATAAATTCATTGTTGTTGTAGAAGTAGACATGTTTGGGGTGTTTGTGTTCTCAAATTAAAATAGGTATAAAAAATAAAATATTTAGGCACTGCAACAAATTTGACAAGCTTAGATTTCTAAGTAATCTATATAACTCAGCACTTTTGAAATTTTTTAAGGGGTTGGGGGTGAGTTATTGGATAGTGATTTTAAGTTTTATCTAAACAAACGGCAAAGGCAAAGAAGGATAAATAGGCAAAAATACTCTGTTTTTCTTTTGCTATTTTCTACTTCTGAGCCAAAGAAGGTGTAACAGGGCAGATATCTACATGGAGAAATGAATGATTGTGCTTACTCCCATCTCACTCTGTCAACTTTCATGTCTTGATACAGATGCATATGCTTATTCCAAGCAAACTCATAGAGGAAGAGGGGATATGAGGACAAATGGAACAGTAAGAAATCATTACCTGAAATTGTTCTGATCTGATTATTTGCTAAGCAGACAAAATGAACTTCATTTAGTCTAAGTGTTTTTCTTTTTTTCCACTTACGCAGATTGGCTCAAGAACTGGGAACCCCCAAAACAGTTATAGAGGAAGTGGTAGAACACCTATCATTCAAGAGGCTTCAAATCAGATTGTTGCCTATGGGAGAGATAGGAGCTCAGGACAAGTAGGAGATCTGTCCATGGCCTTGGCTTTTGCACTTGAGAATGGAGGAAAACTCGGCAGAACAGATTCATCTAGCAGAAGTACAATGCTGGGATTTTTGAATCAATTTGGAAGGGGATCCATAGACTTCAGAAAGCTGGAAAGAAAAGGAAGTGTAAATAGTTACTGGGGTTCAACTAACCAGTTTCCAAACCTTTCTAATATCCATATTGAAGAAATATCAAGAGGGGCACAGAAATTAAACCAAATCCTAAGAGCATGCTCTAATGGCATTAATGTTGATAATTTTTCAATAGAAATTGGGAAAGAACTCATGAAAGGAGCCATGGATTTGGAAGAGTCCTTGAGAATGCTTGTAAACCTGCAGGAAGCTTCAGAATACATGGTCAGCTCACAGAGGAAAAATCGGATCACATTACTAGATGAAGATGATGAGGATGATGAAGACAACACTGTCAAACCAGCTGAACAAATGCAACTGGATCTGCCAAGGTTCTCCTTCGACAAGTCCTCAAGACACGCTCATAAAATCCGAGAAGTTGGAAGGACGGGCCTCAAGCAGAAGGTGACTGCAGCTCTCACTTACTCTACTGAAGGTAGTAGCTTCAACCATGAAAAGCAAGGCAAAATAACCTCCACATCAGTTTCTCAGAGGAAATCAGTCAGCTATAGCCCTGGTGTCAAGAACCAATCAATATTTTCAGACCAGAAAGAGTCTAAACCAGAAAAGGAAAGGATTCCTAACGTAATTGCAAAACTAATGGGGCTGAATGAGCTTCCAGAAAATGAGAACTTGAAGCACACCGCACAGAAAGTCTCCAGTTCCAAACCAAAAAGAGAAAGCCGGGCGATAGGGCAAACAATACAGGAAACCAGTAAGATTTCTGGAGTTAGGACTAAGGATATTGAGAATCTGGCATCTACAAATAGACAAAAAGTTGTAGAAGGCAATAAGTATCCTTTGTTGCAGAATACTAGTTTTGTTTTGCAAGCAGAAAAAGGCAAGATTGCCAACAATGTTAGCCTTGAGGTGGTTATTCATGATGGGAAACCACCCTGGAAGGACTTGGAAGGACCAAAACCTGTGAAAGGACCAGGAAAGACAACCACCAAAACAGATAAGCAGCAGAAATCCCCTCAAATCATCAAACCAGACAAACCTATGGGACATAACAGTTTTGAAGCTGAACTTATGATGCAAGGAAAAACAGGGTTCAAGGTTCTCCCAAGCAATCAGCACAAGTCGCAGAACAATCATGAATTTCAGCAGCCATCCATGCTTTGGAGTTCAGAGTCACCAGAAGAAAAGTGTAGAGGAGAGGTGAAGGAGCAGCAGAGTGCACAACAAAAGCTGCAGTCGAGAAAACGAGGAAGTGAAACGATATCCAAGAGTATATCAAAAGGAGCAGTAGATTTGCAGAAGAAGCAGCTACATACAGACCAAGCTAGGGTAAATAGGAAAAGTGCGAGAGAAGCCGTTGCTGCGGTGAAATCCAAAGGAGTTCCAAATGGCACCTACAATGGAAATCTGGCCAGAAGAAAAAGTTCTGCTGAGTTGAATTTGAGTATGAAAGATTTTTCTCCAAACGACCAAGGCCCTGAACCAGCAAAAGAAAATTTTGGCATTCCAGCAGTTATGGAGGAGAGACCTGTGAATGTAGCACCCTTACAGAAAGCAAAATCTAGAAGAGTGAATAAAAGCGAAATCCCTGGAAGGATCGACGAAGTAGTGACCAGAAGAAATGGAACGGTGAATAACTTGACAAGGCCACTAAAACGTCAGAATTCCATTTTGCAAGAAGTTGCACACAGAAGCCATGAAAAACTCGGTGGCCATAATGTAGCAGAAAAAGTCAAAGCCAGCAGGTTGAAGCAAGCAGAGCCACGCATCATCAAATCCAACAAATCAACATCAAGCATTCAACCATCAGCTTTGGCACAAAACATACAAAAGGAAGATGAGCAGGCTTCGACTTTGTATGATTTCAATGAACTTGAATGCCGAAGCCTCAAAGAACCACAAAATCTCGTTCCAAATGACATTGTAAGTTCATATTTACTCCAGGACACATGAAAATATACTTTTTCATTTACATTAATTTCGCTCAATCCAAAATAGATGGGGAATTGAACTAAGCTTTGTTGGATGCTATGCAGTGTCAAAACTCAGTCCTAGTAGTAACTGATAATCAGCAAGATCAAGCACAACTAAGCTTTGGATATGACGAGTGCACAACTGGACCAAATACACTTAATGGTAAGTAGAACCTCTGCTTTCAATTCAACTTCCCATCTTAGATTGTTGAAGAAGCAAAAATCGTTACTTTCCTGAAAGTTGCAGGAACCCATGAAGAAAGCTTGGACATTTCTCATCCAGTGCAATTGGAGCACCAGAAAACTTTCAACTGGAGAAAACAAGAGCCACTTACAGAAAGTGAAGACCGCCTGAAGCAGATAGTGATAAAGAGTCAACTTTTCCTCAACACAGCGGAGGCACTTTTCAAACTTGATATCCCATTTGGCATTCTTCATGACAGTGGTCGTGATTGCAGCCAAGATGAAGATAGCAAGCTCACATTAGACTGCGGCTATGAAGTAATGAAAAGAAAAGGGAGAAGGCAAGAGCTCAGTGTTCATCCTAATTGTGTGAAGATATCAATAAGTTTCATCCAGACACAGTCCTTGGATGACTTGGTTAAACAATTGCATAAAGATTTCGAAAAGCTCAAATTATATGGTAGAAATGGAAAACTGGAATGTGAAGCTGAAGAGTATGTGCCGAAAATGCTCCAAAGCGATATGCATAACTTGGAGCCTGACATAAGTTGTATGTGGGACATGGGTTGGGACGAGACCATGTTTGCAATTCTTGAAGTAGATGAAGTTATAAAGGATTTGGAGAGGCTTGTGCTCAGCGGACTTGTAGACGAGCTTACCAGAGACCTCTTTCATGCGTGACACTCTTTTCATTGCTGCAACAAGTTGAGAAAAGTTTGTTTCATTATTCAACTGGTTTACTTGGTTTTGTAAGAGATAAATTATAATGCAATCCTTTATTGAAGGATTTCTCGTTCTTACGTTGAGCTTGTAATGAGTGCACTCTTTTGTTTTGTTACGAGGAATTATTCCAGCAATCAAAATGTTCATCACAGTTTCATATTTGGTTTTTGAAGTCCTCTTTATTGAAGGATTTCTCGTTCTTACGTTGAGCTTGTAATGAGTGCACTCTTTTGTTTTGTTACGAGGAATTATTCCAGCAATCAAAATGTTCATCACAGTTTCATATTTGGTTTTTGAAGTCCTGAGTACGTTTGCTTCATTGGGTTTAGTTTTTTGCTTCATGCGTATTTCTGTTTCTTCATTAAGTTTGGGTTTGTTCAGCTTTTTGTTTCATTGGTTCGATTTTCCCTTCAAACCATTCAACTTTTGGTTTTTTTCTTCAGAGTTATGTTTTGGCTTCACAGAGTTCATTTTTTGGCATTAGGACTCAAGATCTCACATTGGAAAAATAGCACATCATATCGTGGCTTTAGAGTTCACGACCACCCTTCCTTTACAAGCCGAGGTCTACCCATGGTTCTTAACATAAAGTTCGTACTTTTACTTGATTGGACCTTTCAAAGCCGAACAAACCAAACACAATAATGCAAAAAATCGAACTCTATGTATGAACCCAGTAAAGCAGAAATTAAACCCTATTAAAGAAAAAGTCGAACCCTATGAAGAAAAATATCTTAACCCTATTAAGCAAAAACCAAACTCAATAAAACAAAAGACAGAACTTTGTTAAGCAAAAAATCGAACACTCTGAATAAAAAACCGAACACATAAGATTACTTGTGCACCAATTATACCCAACTTCTTAAAGTTGGCTTACCTTTACGTGTTTGTTCTTGAAGTAAGCAATTCATATTCTACTATTATATAAGAAGCTTTTTTTTTCTTTTTCCAGTGTGCTTTAATGGCAAATGCCTTACTTTTCTATGTTGCTCAAAGTTCTTTTAAGCTGGAAATGTCGTCACGTTCTAAAAAGGAAATGCCATTGCTTACTGAGTAAGTAAAATATGATACATCATAGATCAACAACAAAAGAGGTTTTTTGCTTTAGATATTTTTGTCTTCTTTTGATTAACATATTGAACTGCCTTATAAATCAAATGCTTAACTTAATCCGACATGTCTTCTTCCTACGTTGGATCCGTACCACATGTCTGATAACCCGGCCCATAGCGGGTTTGTATTATTTGTAACGGTCATGATGGAAGTGTATTTACGATTTTAGTTCCACAGTGGAGAGAGACTAGCAGTGGTGCCATTCTTGCTTTTGTAAAGTCGAAGCCCACCGAAAGATCACTTTACGATTTTGCCCCAAGTCCTGTTGCTGCCTGCCATCTATTAATTCCTTTGCACACTGCTTCACTCTGCTTCACCTTCAGAGAAACAGAGCACTCTGTTTACCATGCGAAACAGAGACCTTTCTACAGCCATGGCGATTATGCTTCTTCGTACTCTAGCGTTTTTCACTCTGGCCGTTAACCTCGCAAGTAAGCTCTTAATTCTTGTTCCCATATAATAAAATTCTTTTAAAGAAGAAAAAGTGTATCTTTGTTTGAGGAATTAAATTACTGAAAGAAATGCTCTGTTTGGCAGAGCCGCAGAGCTATAAAGTTATGATTCTTTTTCTTTTTAATTGCAGCCTGCCAATCATTTCTCGGCGTAAACTACGGCCAAGTCGCCGACAACCTCCCACCACCTTCAGCCACCGCAAAGCTACTACAGTCCACCTCAATCCAAAAGGTCCGGCTGTACGGATCCGACCCGGCCATAATCAAAGCTCTAGCGAACACGGGCGTCGGAATTGTTATCGGAGCGGCGAACGGCGACATTCCAGGTCTTGCATCCGACCAGAATTTCGCCAAGAGCTGGGTCGACGCCAACGTGGCCCCGTTCTATCCTGCAAGCAACATCATTCTCATCACCGTCGGCAACGAAGTCTTGACCTCCGGCGACCAGGGCTTGATTTCTCAGTTGGTTCCGGCGATTCAGAATGTCCAAAACGCTCTCGATTCCGCATCTTTGGGCGGGAAGATTAAGGTCTCCACCGTCCATTCCATGGCGGTGCTTAAGCAATCTGAACCGCCATCTTCTGGAAGCTTCGACCCCGGTTTTGGCGACGTCATGAAGTGGTTGCTCGCGTTTAACTCTGCCACCGGTTCGCCTTTCGCAATCAACCCGTACCCCTACTTCGCGTACCGAAGCGACCCGAGACCGGAGACGCTAGCTTTTTGTCTGTTCCAACCGAACGGGGGCCGGTTCGACTCGAAAACAAATATTAAATACATGAACATGTTCGATGCTCAGGTGAGTGAACCAGGTTTACTCGGTTAAGTAAATTGTCTGGGCCGGTCGGTCCGGTCCAAGACCGTTTAATTGTCAAGTAAAAGTGGCCAATTCTGTGCAGGTGGATGCAATAAGATCTGCATTGGACTCAATGGGAGCCAAGAATGTGGAAATTGTAGTGGCTGAGACTGGTTGGCCCTACAAAGGGGACAGCAATGAGGTGGGTCCCAGTGTTGAGAACGCCAAAGCTTATAACGGTAACTTGATTGCACACCTTCGATCAATGGCTGGGACTCCATTGATGCCAGGGAAGTCAGTTGACACTTACCTCTTTGCACTGTACGATGAGAACTTGAAGCCTGGCCCTGGTTCTGAGAGAGCTTTTGGTCTCTTCAAGCCTGACCTCACCATGACTTATGATGTTGGCCTCTCCAAGACAAGACAGGTGAAAAACTGAAAATCATCATGATCAAGTATCAAATTTTCGATCTTTAATGTGTACATTTTAGATATGGTGTAGATTTTTTTGTTAATATCAATTATATCATGTCATTAATGGCGCTTGATAAGAACAATGAACAAGAAAAACTTACCAATCTAAAGGTTTCAATTCATGGATTATGAGCTACTTATATGTTTAAGCAGTTTTTGATAATTGTCATTGGTATTTTTGTTGTAGCCATTGAATTTAACTTGATTTATTTTGCTTCAGACCCCTTCCACGCCTTCCTCCACGCCGTCAACGCCTTCCACCTCGCCCTCCACGCCCTCTACAGTACCCAAAACGCCAGTTAATCCATCTGCGCCAAAGCCAAAGAAGGCAGCGTGGTGTTTGCCGAAGGCCGGAGTATCAGATTCCCAGTTGCAGGGCAATATAGATTATGTCTGTGGACATGGTTTTGATTGCAGCCCAATTCAACAAGGCGGGGCTTGTTTTGAACCCAACACAGTACAATCCCATGCTGCTTATGCCATGAATCTCCTCTATCAAACTGCTGGTGAGGATCCTCGGAATTGCGATTTCTTACAAACAGCTACACTCTCATCCAATAATCCCAGTAAGTGTTTCTCTGAAATAGCCGCACATCTGAAATAAAAATCTGTTCCCAACTCTTTTGTGTGTCTTCAAGCATTGATCTTGATCTCCTTTTTTAAATTTTTTTTTTTTTTAATTAAAAAAAAAAAACTTGTTTTGTTTTCTGTTTTGTAGGCTATGATGGCTGCCACTACCCAGGTGGAAGTACCTAAAGATAAAGGGACAGGGGGGCTTATATGTAACCAGTTTTTTTTTTTTAATTTTAAAAAAAAAACTTGTTTTGTTTTCTGTTTTGTAGGCTATGATGGCTGCCACTACCCAGGTGGAAGTACCTAAAGATAAAGGGACAGGGGGGCTTATATGTCACCAGAATTACCAAATAAAGGTTGGCAATGGCATGCAGGTGCTAAACCTGCAGGAAGTTGAGAAGAATTTTCAGTGTTGTGGCTCTCCTTTTATGTATGCATAGGAATTAGGATTCTTTGTGAAGAAATGTTTTTATATTATTTAGCTCAAGTTAGAAACTTTCCCCCCTTCATGTAAATTATTTGTGATTTTTCTGAGAATGAGAGTGAGAGTGAGAGCTGCAGAGTTTTATCTTTTATGTTTATAAGACTGAACTCTGTATCTGATTCTGAATGCTTCCTTGGTTGTGATTATAATATTTCTTCCTATATATTATAAGATATGCTATTTGAAACATGGTTTTTCCTATATGCATTGGCTTGGTGTATTTCTATTGACAGACTTTGAGGAAAAAATGAAATGAAAAAATAAATAAATTTATTCTAGAACCGGTTCAACCCGGGAGGGATTTATAAGTAACAGGTGAGGAGCTATGATTGGTTAAATTTGATTTTCAGTTATAGTGGTCCTAGTATTTCTGCCAAACTCAAAGGGAGGCAGAAGAGAGAGAGAGAGAGGGAGAGACAACCCCAACACCCAAACAGCAAAACAATGGCGACGAGAGAGAGAGAAAGGGAGAGGGATCTAGAGCTCCTCATCCCAGTTGCACCAAGTAACGAAAATGCAGATTCCAAATCCTCCTCCCCAGCCAACTCTCCACCTCCTACCACATCCCATCCCCATCATACCACTGGCCGCGAGGTGATTCACTTTCTTCAATATTAATTTGGATATATTAAATGATCACAAATATGCATGAAATATATATATATATACATGGCATAGATTTTATGTTGAATTTGGTTTGATCGATCTTAGCCCTAGCCTGCAATATCGTGATCTCTTTGTCTATGTTCTCGTTACTTGTCTTATGATATGTTGGATGAAATATTTTCTTCTTGACCCAGAAAGAACCCAAAAAAAAGATCAAAATATTTTCTTGGGAAAGTTACATGAATTCTATGCTTATTACTTTTGTATAGGCATTTTCAAAAGTCATCCGCAGCTGGGCCTCCAAGAAGTTTATGACAGGATGGTAACTTCTTATCTCTTCTAATTCCAGTTTTTCTTGACTTAACAATGTTTAGTTCCTTTCGTGGCATTCTGCAAGAGTTTAGGATGCAAATAAATTGTCCGAAAAATTGATGCAGTATTAACACCGTAATTTCCCATGTTTATGGAGCCATTTCCAACTACTTGGTACTTGCCATGAAGGCTTAGTTAACTAGTGTTGAACTAAAATTTAATATTTTAAAGCTATTTGGTTCATATTTACCATTGCATTCTCTTGAAATGCATACACTGCAGTAAAAAAATATCGACTTTTCCTGATATGTTTCCTGATTTTTTTTTTCTTTACAGTGTCATTCTTCTTCCAATAGCTATTACATTCTACATCACATGGCATTTCATTAAATTTGTGGATGGTTTCTTCTCCCCAATCTACAATCGCCTAGGGATCAATATTTTTGGTAAGTAGAATTACTTCATTTGTGAGAGGTAGCTTACAAAACAAAAACATGCCTGTAGTTGCCAGGAACTTTTCTGTATGGTCGGGGATAGTGGAATAGATTGTTGTTGCATGTTAATGGCTGAATTAATCAACCAGTAACATGTGATTTAATAGTCTCTTCTTGTCTGAACTCTGAACCATCTTATTATTTTTCCATGTGACTTGTTTGAATCTGCAGGTCTTGGATTTGCCACCTCCCTCACATTCATCTTTTTCGTCGGTGTTTTCATGCAATCGTGGTTGGGAACGTCTGTTCTTACTCTTTGGGAGTGGTTTATTAAGAAAATGCCACTTATAAGCTATATCTATGCTGCCTCAAAGCAAATTAGTACAGCAATATCACCAGGTATATGCTGCTAACCAACCATATATTGTTGTCTGAGCTTCCGGATTCTGAAACTTTGAGCCATTTGACCTCACTTTACAGATCAGAGCTCTAATGCTTTCAAGGAAGTGGCTATAATAAGGCATCCAAGAGTTGGGGAGTATGCATTAGGATTTATCACTTCAACAGTTGTTCTTGATCAAAGGAGTGTAGGAGAAGAACTCTGTTGTGTTTATGTACCTACCAACCATCTTTATCTTGGAGATATTTTTCTGATTAGTCCCAAGGATATTCTGAGACCCAACCTGTCTGTTCGAGAGGGGATTGGTATTAATTTTTTGTACAGAAAAGATTTGCAAGATAATGTACTATCTGATTATGAATATTGACTTCTTAAACTAGTTTGGCTTCTGCTGTTCATGTGCTGCAGAAATTGTAATCTCCGGAGGTCTGTCAATACCGCAACTGTTAACGACGGTGGAAGCACAAGTCCTTACACCAAGAAGAGTTCCTCACTTTGAAGAGCCAAAAGTATGATGATGTTTCGAGGATGGTAAGAAATTGAGAATCTACTTCACTGCTTTTTCCTCATAGATTATTTGTCCTTGAGGTTGATGTAATGATACTTAAACTAGTGTTTCATGTTGCTACAGAAGTTCTCAAACTCAAACAAAGTTTTGCAGACGAAGCTTAGAGGCTTGAATCTAGATCAGGCCTGGAATGAAGTGAAGAAACCGTAGCAGAATCCTGAAAAGCAGTGAAGCCCCTTTAGAAACAAACTTATATACAGCTACAACTGATGCTAGCTTACATGCTATATTTGTTTACAAGGGAAATACCCCTCTTAAGTACACCATTTTATCAATTTTAATTTGTAAATGTTTTCCTTTTATCCCGTCTGTTTATTTTTGGTCCTAAATATAAGCGATACTGAGAAATGGGAGACTTCGAGTACATAAATATTCGATTTCGTCAAGTCAGCACAGTCACAACTTCACTAAACAAAAATGATTCAAAATGGAAAGTAAGATTGACTAGCAATTGAAATGATAAAATGACCAAATATAAGCATGAAATGGGGGAATTCGTATTACACATGCTACTGTTTTTGAGTGCATGAAAAGCATGGACAACAATTACAACTTTCTACATTCACCAATATTATGATGGAAGGGTTAAATAATATTTTTTTCATTAAAAAAATAAAAACAATATAGAATGGCAGGGTTACATTCTTGTCTCACATTGTTAACGCAACAATTTAAAAATATTTTACGTTGTAATCATAACAACAATCCGTTGTCGTCCAGCGGTTAGGATATCTGGCTTTCACCCAGGAGACCCGGGTTCGATTCCCGGCAACGGAACTTTTTAAAATTTACTTTTTTAGTATGCTGACGTGGCATAAGCATTTTTAGTAATTTTAACTATTAAAAACGTTATAACTCCAAATTAAATATAAAAACAGATTTTAAATATGAGTGGTGCTAGAGGCACCAATTTTGGGCACCAACTCTCTAATAGAGGTGGAGCCCGCCAATACAACGGGTTCCATGCTTTATTAGAGAGTTGGTGTCCAAAGTTGATGCCCAAAATTGGTGCCTCTAGCATTTACAATACAAAATAATTATAAAAAATCCCTCTTCCCCTTCTTCCCTTACCCGTCACCCCACCAGACCCCCAACCCCAATCCCCAACCCACTCATCCCTCTGTTCCTCTCTCTCTCTTTCTTTCTCCCCCTTGCACTCATAGAACTTCGAAGCCAACCTCAAGCTCCCATCTTCTCTCTCTTTCTGGCTCCTTCCTCTCTTGTTCTCTCTTTTCTCTCCCCTTCTCGAACTCTCTGAAAAGTAATGGTAACTTAATACAATCGAGTTTGCCACGTGGCAAAACATCTGAAAAGTACCCCCGATTTCACGTGACGACAGACACGTCACCGGGTCACCGGGTCACCGAGTCACCGAAAGTGACAGTTGGAGCCCGAAGCTTCTCTTTTCCCTTGCGTAATTCTAAGGCCTATTTCCATCTGCAAATCTATCTTCTTCTACACCAAGGAATTTTGACATTCTCAAAGTCTCAGGTACACTGACATCATCTTTATCCTATAGTTTAGTCATCTCGATTCTGTTCTCGCAATTTCTTTGTTTTCACTCGGATTTGATTTCCTTATTTCCTTCGTTTTCTTCTTTTGCATCGTTTTTTTCACGCCACCTTTTTTTGTCGAAATTTTGGTATACCATCGAGTACGATGTGCTGTTCTTGTTACGGTCTTAGATGATACGCAGTCAGTAAAAATGTCGATTTTGTCTGTTGTTAGCAAAGAAAGGATCAGCTAAACGAAACAAAAAATGAAGGAGAGAAACATGGCAGGTTGATTATATGTTCTGTTTGGTTTGAGAAACGCTGGGAAAAAAGATAGAAACATTGTTCTACAGCTTAGATTATCCGAGTTTTCTTCGGAAACCAGGGTATTTAAATACAGTTTGATTGGTTTTTTGCATTATTATCAGTCTCTGTCTCAAGAAATAAGTCCATGGAGCTCTGCTGCTGGCTTCGACTCTAGATTGGACATGAAAAAATTGATTCAGGGAATCAGTGCTGATGTGCCCTTTCACTTTGTCACTTTGAGCTTGCTAGAGAGGGAGAGAAAAAGTTGATCCAAAAATTTAAAGAAAGAAAATCTCTTATTTCTTCCATAGTCAATGATTTGCTAGATGGCTTAATTGTCTTGAATTTATCTGTTCCAAACAGTACGTGAGAGTAATTTGCACATATTTGCATTTTTTTACTATGAAAATGGGGCAATGGTTTATTAGTAATAACGCATTTCAACGCAGGAATTTGGTTGTGAAGTGTTTAAAATGGGGCAATGGTTTATTAGTAATAACGCATTTCAACGCAGGAATTTGGTTGTGAAGTGTTTCAGCGTCATGGCTTCATCTGTTCTGATCTCTGATACTGAGCCTTGGAAGGATTTGAAGGTATTTGAGACAGTGCCTCTTTGCAATGTGCAGTATGAAAGTTTTCTGATCTCTGTTCTAAATGTGGATAGTTTTCATTGTTCAGGCCCATGTTGCGGACATAAACAAGACCCATTTGCGTGATTTGATGAATGATGTTAAGCGGTCCCAGTTAATGACGAAGTAAGGCGTCTGCTGGAACTTTTTGAAAGCTTTAATCTTACATCATGTCATCCTTGTTTTATATGATACATGAAGTGTATGACATGAATATTGTTGTAGGCTGTATCAACTATTATATGTGAAGTCATGAATAACTTGATAATGTGTGTGTATATTCTAATAGTGAGTTTGATGGGATATTATTGGACTACTCACGGCAACGTGCCACACCTGAAACCTTGGAGAAGCTTTTCAAATTAGCAGAGGTGGGGTTGGCCCATTCATAACTAGTCTGTCTTGGGGGGCAAGGGATTGGGTGAATGTGTTTTCTAAGTAATGTTGTCTATGCCACAATGCAGGCTGCGTCCCTCAAAGAAAAGATTAACCGAATGTTTGGTGGAGAGCATGTAAGTTCAAGTTTATCTTCCTTTGGTAGAGTGCGGATAAATATGGAATTAAAATGCTAATTTGGACACTTTTTATCTGCAATTGGCGAGAAACTTTTTTGTGAGCACAACAATAGACCAGCTTATTTCTGAAACCATCATGTGATTCTTTTGCATTCTATTTTTTTTTCTTTTTTTCTTCTGGGTGGTGCCTTCAGATAAACAGCACAGAAAATAGATCAGTGCTTCATGTAGCTCTACGTGCTCCAAGGGATGCAGTTATACAAAGTGATGGGAAAAATGTGGTCCCAGATGTTTGGGAAGTTCTGGACAAGATCCAAAAGTTCTCTGAGAGTATTCGAAGTGGATCTTGGGTAATCAACCACAATTTTTTTAGTATCCGTTTTGGGTCCATATTGCCTGAATTCTGAAGTAATTGCAATTGTGGTAGGTTGGAGCCACAGGAAAAGCCCTGAAGGATGTCATTGCTGTTGGTATTGGTGGCAGCTTCTTAGGTCCTCTGTTTGTGCACACAGCTCTTCAAACAGGTTCAGATGATGCCTTCCATATTATCCATTTATAACTCTATTTTGCAGTCTTATTTACTATTTAGTGTGAGTTTCGTTGTGAAAATTGATTAAGCTTGCTTTGGAATAAAGTTTGGGCAGTGTTCATTGGTTTGATTACATCTTACAGATCCAGAGGCTATTGAAACAGCAAGGGGAAGGCAGCTGCATTTGTAAGTACTTACATATTGATTTTTTAATTGATTAATTTCCAGTTCTCTATATCAATGACTTAAAATCTGGTATGATATTAATAGTAAGAATCCATGTCTTGAGGCTTTTGAAGTGATTTCCCACTACAGTTGTCAAACATTGTGGATTATCTTTCTTTTAGCTCCTTCTACCTGATTGGTTTTTTTGTGTTCATGAGTTTATTTCTATGGCATAGTTTTTGAAGGAAGGATGCGTTCATCTGTTGAAGACATGTAGAGAAGCATTTTGTATTTGATACGGCACATAAGATTTTAGGACACCACAAGCTTTTGCTTTTGTTTTCAAACTTTCTTTTGTTTTAATTTTGAAAGCAATCTGTATTCTGTGTGTTTGGTTTTAGTTGTGGTGGTTGAAGAAGCATAGCCCATACTCGGGGACTATGTTAGATGCATTATCTGTGTAAATATTTGGTTGTATTTTTGGTGGTTGGGTTAAAAGATTAGATGCATTCTGTAAAAGCCAGTAACATGGCCCAGAACGAGTGGCAGTATTCCACTTCTGATAATTATGTGTGGCATATTTTTTTTATCCAAGGATTGATGATTCCGGTCTAAGGGTATTCTAATCTTTTGTTTTCCTCTGTGTGCAGTCTTGCAAATGTTGATCCTATTGATGTGGCTAGAAATATTGCAGGATTAAACCCAGAAACTACCCTCGGTAAGCATAAGTTTACTTATATCACTAAATATTGACTTTTGTAAACTTAGCTCTATGTTGGGTATCTTATCGTTTGTATTCTTTTGATATTTGCAGTTGTGGTAGTTTCGAAGACTTTTACAACAGCTGAAACTATGTTGAATGCTCGAACCCTTAGGGAATGGATTTCATCTTCTCTCGGGTTAGTGCACTGCTAACACTTCTTCAAGTATATGAACAGTTATTTCAGATTAAGGATTTGCTTCATATTTGATGATTTAATTTAGACTTAGTAAGTAAGCTTTGGGAGTGGGCAGAATGAATCATATTTAGAATAGCTTAGTAATGCTATAATTGAATAATTTAGTACTCAAGATATTAATGATGGAGTGAAGGTTTATTATGTCTTTTTGTAGTTTAATTATTGATTTTGTCAGATAAAATTTGAGTTTTGAAGATCTGCCTGCCCCTCTCTCTCTGTGTCTCTCTCTCATGATTGAGCGTAACATTTTCAGGCCTGATGCAGTTGCAAAGCATATGGTAGCAGTCAGCACTAATCTTACAGTATGAGTTTTTCCCTTTGTCCTCGTGCCTTTAGTTGATTAAACATTCAGATTATCATTAATTTTAATTAACTATTTTTCATTATTCGTTGGTCATTCTAAATTTCTGTGCTTTTTTCTTTTCAGTTTTTATGCTGATGCTATTTATTGAGTTCATCAGGACTAAGGTTGTGTTTTTAGATGGAAATATTGGCAGATTTAGGTGCTCTATTGAAAACCTGTGAAAAGTGTGCATTCCATCTTCATGTGTTCCTTAATTGTTATATAAATTTGATCTTAGTCCCTCATATAGTTTTATACAAACAGATCTTAGTGCCTTTTATTTGTGATGGATTATCAAAGATTCTCTAATACAACCCGTTAATTTACAGTATGCGTATTTTTTTTTAAGTGGTTATAAAAACAGATATGATTTTTTTTCCATCTACAATCTTCGTAGACATTGAAGTTTGGTCTATTCGCAACGAAAGCTATCCTTGTGTATTATCTTTGTGTGTTTCTGTTTCAGCTTGTAGAGAAGTTTGGGATTGACCCAAATAATGCTTTTGCATTTTGGGACTGGGTTGGTGGCCGGTATAGTGGTAAGTTATTTGCCCTCTTGTGCATATATTTTCAGCTAACTTGATGTTTAATTATTATTTTTGAATTTCTGGTTGCAGTGTGCAGTGCTGTTGGAGTGTTGCCTTTATCTCTTCAATATGGGTTCTCAGTTGTTGAGAAGTACGCTACTCATGGTTGTTTCAATTGTATTTTAATCATTTCTGAAGTTTGTGATACATAGATTCGATTTCTACTCCATTAGTCAATGCGGATTAGGTTTAAATTGTTTATCCTGTTTTCTTATGTAGAAGAAAATAAATTTGTTGCTTTCTCCGGTAAATATATGTACTTGAGAAACAATTTTGAACCTGCACTTTGAATCAAAATGACAAACATAGAATGCATTACTCTTTCCAGAAAAAAGAAAAACCTGAAGATAATATTTCAGATAGGGCGCGGCATGATGTTTTAAAGATATTTTATGTTATTTGTTAACAGTAGCTTTGAAAACAATATCTACATAAACACTGATGCTGATGTAACTCGGTGATCTGATTCTCAAAAGGCATTTTCCAGTTCTCTATCAATGCCTTTTTTTCTGAGGAAAAAAGGCTCTTGTTTTGTTTCAATGGTTGTTTAAATGATATTTGTATATACTAACTAGGATGTTATATTTCCTACGCAAAGGTTCTTAAAGGGAGCTTCAAGTATTGATCAACACTTCTACTCAACACCATTTGAGAAAAATATCCCTGTAAGTGCCTACGGTTGTTATCATCATGATTATTGCTAGAGTGATTGTCTTGCATTTCCTACTGGGAATGGCAAGGATGGTACCTGTAACACTGGTGAGTTATAAAAATACCTGTAACACCGGTGGGTTACAGAAATGTCGGTGCACAATGAATCTCATCAGAGTTTGAGTTCATTCATATAATCATTTTGTTTCACCTTTTAGTGTGATTCCTCTCTAGTTGAGTGACACCTTAGCCACCTCTATATTCAAGTTTGGGGTAGATTGTTGTGGTTACCTATTTAGATAGGTAGCTTAGCTGTAAAGCTTTATGAGATAATTATTGGTGTGTTATATACCGTTTCATCCCTGCTTCAGGTTCTCTTGGGTCTGTTGAGCGTATGGAATGTTTCATTCCTTGGATACCCTGCAAGAGTGAGTGTTACTTTATCCTTTCTAGACTTCAAATTTGTAAGTCTCAATCAATTTTGTCTTTTAACTTCTTTATGCTTATTTTTTAGGCTATCTTACCTTACTCCCAAGCACTGGAGAAGTTTGCTCCGCACATTCAACAGGTAAGTTTATACTAGTCATCTATCTGCATTTTTATATCAAATGCTCTTATACCTTCCAATTTTTTTCTGCAATGTAGGTTAGCATGGAAAGTAACGGCAAGGGTGTATCAATTGAGGGTGTAATACTTCCCTTCGAGACCGGAGAAATTGACTTTGGTGAACCTGGAACAAACGGTCAGCACAGCTTTTACCAACTAATTCACCAGGTGATCAACGTTCTATTATTTGTTTAATTCTAACAATTTTCAGTGATCTCATGTATGAAAACTGATTTTACATTCAAAAGTGTTACCAAACCTTCAGCTTTTCAGTCTTATGTGAAGGAACACTGAGCAAATTTCTGAGCTTCAGATAATTATTCTTAGTATTTTGATTTATGTTGTGATGTACTTTGATAATTAATTTTTTCCTTCTTGAATGTTCAGGGCCGTGTTATTCCTTGTGATTTTATTGGTGTTGTGAAGAGTCAACAACCTGTTTACCTGAAAGGTACCTAATTTAAAACTCTTATGTCTTGCTCGAAGTTTTTATTTTGATGTTTGGTTTGTGGGGTATGCAATATAGAATTCCTCACGTGTTTGCTGCAGGTGAAGTGGTGAGCAACCATGATGAGCTCATGTCTAACTTTTTTGCACAGCCAGATGCCCTTGCATATGGGAAGGTATGTTTTATGCTTACTCCTGGACACTGGAAGACTGGGTTTACATTTGAACCAAACACCGCCCAGTATTCTAAAAGCTTTATATGTTAAAACGACAACATTTTATACCCTTTCTTTTGAGGTAATTGAGTTTGCACTATGATTCTAGCAACAAAAACAAAAAAAATGATAAAACCAAGATTAGCAAAGAAATTTCGCCATTTCTCTCACTGATATGAGAGCACATATTACTACCTTGGATTTTTTTCATGTCTAACCAGAATTAAGTTTCTTGTAGCACCCAGAACAGCTGCAGAAAGAGAATGTTCCAGAGCATCTTATCCCGCATAAGGTGAGTTCCTATTGGCTTCAGTCTTTGGCTTATAAGTGAATAAGTGGCGCTAATTATAAGATCTCTCTCACAGACTTTCTCTGGAAACCGGCCCTCTCTCAGCATTCTTTTTCCATCACTGAATGCTTACAATATTGGCCAGGTTTGCTATTTGATTTCATTTTCTACCTTTTGTTATGCGTTTTGGTCATGCCTAATTGTTTGACGTTTCAATTTCAAATGGTTTTTCTGCTTCTGTGTGAGCATATGCAAAGTCAAACAGTAAATTGCTTGATGAATTGTCATTTACTACATATTTGCTAACTTCTCAATTCTAAAACATAACATTCTAGGCCTGCATGTTTAGTCCGAGTGCTTGTTCATGTGCTATGTGAGGTCTTCATTTACTGCTCTTGTATTCTTTCTAATACCTACTTGCCTGTATCCAGTTGTTGGCAATCTACGAACACAGAGTTGCAGTCCAAGGTTTCCTATGGGGGATCAATTCTTTTGACCAGTGGGGAGTAGAATTGGGGAAGGTACAATGGAACCTTATCAGTGTTGTTCTCGTACTGGACCAAAATGAATATAAGAATTGCATCGACTTTCATCTGTCCGCTGATCCAATTTGAAGTTTATTTTGTTTTGCCCCCTTCATATATTTTAACATATCTATTTCATGTTTGTTAACGCAGTCATTGGCCACTCAAGTTAGAAAGCAACTCAATGCGTCTCGTACAAAAGGGCAACCAATTGAAGGCTTTAATTACAGTACTACAACATTGTTAAAAAAATACTTGGAGGTAAGTACAGCCAAAAATAAAAATAAAAATAATGCTTGGGAGGCATCATGGCAAATCACATTTTCATTTGGAAACACTCACACAACTAAAATGCAATTAATTGATAATACATTTTGATATTTACTACTTATAGGATCTTCCTGACACTAGATTACTGTATCAATTTGGCAGGCAAGTTCAGATATTCCTGCTGATCTTCCTACGCTTCTGCCGCGGATATAGTTACCTTCTTCTGGAAATATTCAACTTTAAAGTCAGTTGAACAAATAAAGTTTTAACCTCGTGTATATGAACCCAGTATGTAGCGATCTGGGTCTTAGTTATGCTTGCAGTTTTTCTAATGTTTAACTTTACATTGAGCATCATTATAATTAAATTGAGGCTACTTCAGGTACGAAGCAATGCTGCCCAAACAACTCAGTGGTAATCCATTTTAGTGATTAACCTTCATGTTGCAATTTTTCTACTTTCATGAATCCATTTTGGTCTGTCTGAAAGCATGTTATGAATGTGCAAAACAAAACCAGTTAGCCATTGACTGAAAATATTTGCATTACAAGAGCAGACCAGTCACCTATGACTTGCAACAAAATTAACCCTAACTAGCTTGATTCACCAGTCCCCGATCTCAAAAACACAGTTAAGCCCAGGAAGACATCTCTCGTGGCTGATAAACAGGCAGCCTAGATACCGGTGGATCCAAACCCGCCGGCGCCCCTGGCAGTTGAGTCCAAATCCTCAACCTCCACGACATCAGGGGTGATGATCTTCTCAATGATCAGCTGTGCAATCCTATCGCCCTCCTTGATTTCAAAATCAACATCAGAATGGTTGAACAATATCACCCCAACTGAGCCCCTGTAGTCAGCATCTATGACTCCCGCTCCCACATCGATCGAGTGCTTCCAGGCCAACCCTGACCGCGGCGCTGTACACCCAAGAGAATGTTAGTGAAACACATTTCTTCAAAAATCTAAAAAAATCAAAGTTTAATTTTCTTTTTTTTGAAATTTAACAGGAAAATTGGGGATCCGGGTTTTACCAATTCTTGCATAGGTTCCTTCAGGGACCGAAATGCTCAGATCAGTCGGGACCAGGGCTTTTCCTCTGGCCGGTACCTTCGTCTCCGTTGCACTACACAAAATCAAAGAACCAAAGAAAAACCCACATGAGATTACAATAATTTTTCTCGTAAAAATTGACCATGGGAAAAAGGGGGGGTTTCGGGGTTTACCTTGAGAGGTCATAGCCTGCAGAGAGAGGTGAGCCTCTCGAGGGCAAGACGGCCTTCTCAGCTAGCTTCTTCACCCTGAAAAATGAGGTGGGGTTTCCCGAAACGTCGCTCTTTTCGTGAAGCTTGGCGATCTTAGGAGTTGGCTCCTTGACTTCGTGGCTTCCGTTCTGCACGTCTTGCTGGGCCATTCTGAGTAGCTGAGAAAGAGGACGGCGGTAATGTGGGGATTTGC